GGCCTTTTTGTCCCCCTAGACACTCCCCTTACACTGCCCTATAAGATCTCTATGCAGACGTTTCGAGCTGTCTTTCCTAGCCATCGGCCTTGGCGGGTGAATGAAAGGCCCAAGCTAACATGGGTTAGCTCGTTAAACAACTATAATTAAAGCCTCTGCAGTTTGCATCAAGCTTTAGACTCTGCCTGGTGATTGGGGTGACTGCCGTCCTGGGCTAAGATCCTGGAGGCCTGAGCTTCTGGGGGTCTTTCAGGACCTCTGGAAGGGCAGTCAGTGCTTTTAACCTCTGAACCATCTCTCCAGCCCACACGCAGGAACTTTATCTGAGGGCCAAAGCTTAATTTCCCCTCTGCTGCTTGTTCTTCTATGTTGTTCTCTTTCTATTCTATTCTTCTACCCTGGTATATTTCTTCTTCTTCTTCTTCTTCTTCTTCTTCTTCTTCTTCTTCTTCTTCTTCTTCTTCCTCCTCCTCCTCCTCCTCCTCCTCCTTCTCCTCCTCTTCCTCCTCCTTTTCCTCCTTGCTTCTTTTTTTTCCCAGTTCTGAAAAACCAAAAAAAAAAAAAAAAAAAGACCACTTGCTGGTCTTCCAGAGACCCACGCTCCCATCACCTACATCAGGTGACTCAGTAACCCCAACTCCAGGGCATCTAACACCTCTGCTTCACACACACCTTACACATAATTAAAAAACACAGTGAACATAAATTTTAAAAAATATAGATATTTTAGGTCAGCATGGTGGCACACATCAGTAATCCCAGCACTTTGGGAAGCAGAGGCAGGAAGATCAGAAATAGCACCTTTAAGGCCAACCTGGGCTACATGACTCTTATCTCAAAGAAACAAAAACAAACAACAAATTATATAAAGTGGGACTGTGTTTGATAGACTCCCGTCAGTCTCTGATAATAATAATAATAATAATAATATTATTATTATTATATGTAACAGTAATAATTACAGGGGGGGAAGGCCATGAATTGGAGAGATGGGTAACATGGAGGGGATGGTGGAGAGAAATAAAGGGGAGAAAAATGATGTAATTATAATCAAATAAAAAATCTTTAAAAACATGTAACTGTAGAAAAGTATGACAGAGTCATCAGTTAAAAGGCTATTAGCATTTGCAGGAATGTTGAAGAGAAATCTCATGCCAATTTTAAGGAGGAAAGGGTCATTTTATTTTAGAATATTTGCGGTGTGTGAGAATCTATTCCTTGCGACTCTGAATGTAGGAAGGTCTGGAGGGAAGACGGCTCAGAAGTTGAGAGCACTTGTTGCTTTTGCTGAAGACCGGGCTTGGATTTCCAGGACCCACATGGCAGCTCACAACAATCCCATAACTCCAATTCTAGGCAATCTGATTCCCTCTTTTGGTCTCCTCAGATATTAGGCACAGTAGGGTGCACATACGTACATTCAGGCAAAACGCTCACATATATACATATATGTATGGAACTTGGGGGGATGTCACAAACTGGTAATTCAGCACTTGTCTAGGCTTTGTAATCAAAGGGACGAAGTGGGGGACGTGCAGCCGGCAGAACGTCCATCCCCTGGCTTCCGCAGGAACAGGAGAGCAGTGGGAAACACAGGTCCCTCCGGAGAGCGACGCGGGATCCTCGGGAAACTGAGGGTGAGCTCCTCAATTTTGGGTTTCACTAGCACTGAAGGGGTCTCCTTCCAGAGAATGGACGCCGGCCAGTAACTCCAGCGGAGGAGGGGCGTGGCCACGGCCCGCAAGGCTGAGTCCGCGCTCCGCATTTGCTCCGAGGCAGGAGGGCGGGGCGTAGAGGGGCGGGGCTCCCCAGAGGAGACCGGGCATTGGCTGTTGGTAGAGGGGTGGAGTAGGGCCAGCCTCAGGCCTCCGGGCATTGGCTGGTGGGGCGGCCAGGGACACGTGGTGCGGAACCGGCGCGGTAAGCGGGCGCT